CACATATTCAGTTATGCGACCCCATATAGGATCATGACCCACGGTTTCAGAAGCACTGTCTAGACTATGAAGACAGCTGCAATTGCTCTTTGTGGTTGTTCAGTCATTTCAGTCACGTCTGACTCTTCATGACCCCATTGTAGGTTTTCTTGGCAAAGATACTGAAATAGTTTCCCAACGCATGTTACAGATGAGGAAACTGAGGCAAACAGGGTTAAGTGACTTGCCCAGGGTCACACAACTAGTAAGCGTCTGAGGCCACATTTGAACTCAGATCTTTCTGACTCCAGGCCTATCCTCCAGCTAACTGCCCTGCAATTTCTTTACCTCTTGTGAATCATTCCTGTTTTAGGAAGATCTGAGAGGTCAAGAGGATCAGAGAAAATGTTTCCTCCATTTTATTGGTCATGTGACCTAGAACTGCTTTTTTTTCTTTATAGCATTATTATTGTCATATAAATTGTTTTCCCTAATCTGCATACTTCATTCTATATCATTCCATAGAAATCTTCCTAGTTTCCTATGAATCAATCCATTCTGTCATTTCTTATGGAACAATAGTATCTCATTACATTAACATGATACTTTGTTTATCTTTCCCCAATAGGTGGGCATCTCCTTAGTTTACAGTTTTTTTGCTACTATGAAAAGAGCTGCTATAAATATTTTTCTACATATAGATCTTTTTCCTTTTTCTTTGATCTGGTTGGGTTTTATGCTTTGTAGTGATACAATTGTTGAAGTCAAATGGTGTGTATAGTTTAGTGACTTCTGGGAACTAGTTCTAAATTGTTTTCCAGAAAGTCTAGATCACAGTTCCACTGATAGAGTTCTTTTGTGCCTATTTTCCTGCCATTTCTCTCAACATTTGCCTCTTTGTCAATTTTATGGCTGTGAGGTGGAACCTTACAGTTGTTTTAAAGTGCATTTCTCTAATAACTAGTGATTTGTAACCTTTTCCCCCATAGGACTGATGATAGCTTGGATTTTTTTTTTCCTTTGCAAACTGCCTGTTCATATCCTTTGATCATTTATCTGTTGGGGATATGGATCTTCTTATAAATTTGAATCAGTTCCCTATATATTTTGGATATGAAAACTTGATCAGGGAAATTTTTGCAAAGATTTTTTTTCTCCAGATATCTATTGTCTTTCTAATTTTAACTGATTATATTTGTATTTCTCTAGTGCCTAGCACAGTGCCTTGCATGCAATAGGCACAATAAATGGCTAAAGAATTAATTAGTTGAATGAAAGGGGGAAGAGAATAAGCATTTATATCATGCCTACTATGTGCCAAGCACTGTGTTAAATGCTTTACAAATATTATCTCATTTTATCCTATTATTATCCCCATTTTGCAGTTGAGGAAACTGAGGCTGATAGAAGTTAAGTGACTTGTCCAAGGTCACATAACTAGCAAATGTCTGAGGTCACATTTGGACTCAGGTCTTCCTTACTCCAGCCCTAGCACTCCATACACTGTGCCACTTAGCTGTTGAATGAATTCCTTATATATGATATCTTTGATTTCTCATATATTAAATGAAAAATTGTGTAGAATTTAGGGATCACATCATGTTGATTATATTAAGCCCCTGAACTCCACCATGATCTCCTCCAGTCAAGAAGATGAAGAATTCATGTTGTTCAATTTAAAACATGAAGTTAGATGAGCAGCTTATTGAGTTGGTCCATCAGTACCCAAGTCTTAGGCAAATATAAATATATAATGTATAATTAACACATTATACAATGTACAATAATACAACAAATATAAATGTACAATAAACAGTGAGGCTTAGACTTGAAGAGGAATTGTGTAATGGACTGATTGTATTTGTGGAATTGTGCAGTGTTTTTAATTATCTGAAGCTCTTCCCGTGATCTACTTCTCCATGCCACTTCAGCTATACACAGAGATGGTCATATTCTTGATTTTGCCATGGCTCACAAGGTTTCATATTCAAGAACTACAAAGTTCCTCTATTCCATCATAATCTTCTGTAATTCCATCTTTTCCATTTAATATTACTCCTAAACTTATTCTTCATCCTCTTCATGACCTCTAATACTTACTCCTTACTACCTTCCCAAGTCATAACCACAACTTGGCCACTTTCTTTTCCATTGCCTATCTTGACCCTTTTAAAGTGAAAACCATGCTGTCTTCCACTCTGGAATTACTTGTTCCCTTGTCCTCTTCTCACTGTTGGCCAGATTGAATCCCTGAGTTGTTTTCAACATCTGCCTCCTTTATTCCTACATGTGCTGCTAAACTGAACTGGAGAAAATCATGAAACTGTCCTGATTGGGTCTACAACAAATTGATTTGTAATCTCAATTGGGTCCTTGCTGTAGCAAGGTAATCTTTCTACTCCCTTGTATCTACTTTGTTTTTATCTTGCAATTACCTCCATCTGTGCTTACAATCATCCTCATTAAAATGTAATCTCCTTGAGGGCAGGAACTGTTTCTTTTTTACCTTTGTATCCTAGCACCTAACATAGTGTATGCACATAGTAGGTGCTTTATTGATTGAAGGCTTCATTAAGTATCTGAGTTGAGCCTGGAAGGAAAGAATGAACTTCAACAGATCTAGTTGGGCCTGAGGGATTCCAGAAACATGATTAGACTTGAGCAAATGGCTAGGAAAAGGCAGGCCTTAAAGGGAGTATGAAGAGAAATGTATTTTGTTTGGAAATTATGATATATGAAGACAAGCAAATAGAACAGTAAGGGGAGTAGTATAAGTCTGGACTTTGCAGGATCTGTATACCAGAGTCAGGAAGTTTTTTTTTTTTTTTTTTAAATTTCATGGGCAACCTGTAGGATCCAGGAGGGTAGGGACCACATTTTACTTAAATTTTGTGTCTTCCCCAATGTCTATCCTTCCCCATTCACATATTTGTATGCAGTAGGTGCTTCATAAGCATTAGTTGAATCAAAAACTTAAAAACCATTTTGATACTATTGAACAAATTGACTCAAGAATGAGGTCTTTACAACAAAATCACTTCTCTGGGAAAGTACTTTTTGCAAATTTAGAGAAATCACATAAGTATTCTGCATAGTGGTTTAAGCATTTATTATTTTTAAAAATATGTTCATCACAATTCAATCACTGAATGATGTAGGCAAAATTAATGTTGAATTCTTGACTTAAGACAATAGATGATGCCACATTGTTATCACCTGATGACAAATCAACACCAGGTGCTAACTTATCCAGAGTTTCCAATAACAGTATTAATGTCAGTCCCTGCTCAGACAGTTCTTAGGCTTGGAATCACTTTTGATTCCATGTTCTCATTTACTTTCCCCTCAAATAATTAATCAGTAGCCAAATCCTTCCATTCCTCCTATGCAGTATCGATCAACAGGTATTTATTAAGATTTAATTATTTCTTTATTTTTATGTTATTATTTATTCTTTTTAAATAGTAATATTATTATTAACACACCCAGCAGTGTGTTAGGATGATCTTGTTAAAGTAGTCAACTAGGAAATATCAGTAAATGGTGTCTCTAGTGAAACAAAACTTGCCTGGCATTTAACACTTCAAAGGAATTCCCTAATTGCTAGTTATCAGCCAAGTGGAGTCAGGACAGGAAATCAGTGATAACTAGCCTCCATTTAGGCTGACAGGAAATCCAGGCATTAAAGTGGCTATTAAAATGGGGTACTGACCATTATCAGCACTGATATTAATTCAAATGTGGATAACAAAAAATGTTTCACTGCCCTATCCCTTGTTTTCAGTCAGATTTAGAGATGAGAAATTGTAAAATTATATATCTGATGACACAATTTTCTGTTTCTATAAGATTCAGAATATATAGCAACCAATGATTTTAAGTGAATAAACAATGTTTTTTAAAAAGAAAAATTCTACAAGAAAACTTTTATTTTTGTATATGAGAACTCCAAGATAGCATGTAAAAGGTATTTATTGATTCAATGTATTTACTCTATTGACACTTATTAAGCATCTACTGCATGTAGCGTACTGTATCAGGTGCTGAAGAAATAAAAACATAATTAAGACAGAGTTCTTGCCCCTATGGAGCTTACAATCTAGCAAAGGAGGTTCATTAAGCAAACATGCAATAAATGACTTGTCCAGTATCACAGAATAGAATAATTTAAAATGTAAATAATACAATGAAATTATAATATCCAATTAGACAGAATTTATAGACAGGTCACAGCAAGTTATGCACTATCTCCAGATCATTCTCTTGCCTATAATATTAAATTCTTGAACTTCATGTCTTAAATTGCCTGAAGATGGGTCAGCTACAATGTATCCATTTGGCAAACATGGCCTTATGATGCCAACTCCAACATGTTTCATAGTTAAGGAAGAAGCACAGGTAAGTAGAAAGCACTGGATCTTTGGTTCAAGTTCTGGCTATGCTACTTGGTATTTATGTGACTTTGGGCAAATCATTTTATCTTTCTAGGTCCCACTTTCCAGAAAAATGAAGCACTTGGATCTCTAAGGTACCTTCCTGCTCTAAAATCTATTATGTTATGATCCTTAAGAACTCATTCAGGAAATAAAAGTTTGCTGTGAAGTTAAAAAATAAATCACATTGGTAACCATTTGGGAAATGGATGAAGTATCAGCATTCATCGCAGACAATAGAAGTGAATACATTGCAAACCTTGAAGCTTTCTCTATATGTGGATTATTATTTTAAATTTGTACCTGAAGGTGAGGACCAAAGACATAGAACAGAAACAAACAGTGCCTCTCCCTCCCCCGATCCCCCAGCCCATTTCTTGGAGTGGGCCAAAAGAGACAGCAGGAGAAGGAAGTCCTTCCCCTTTTTACTAGTTCAGTTCATGGGGTCCATGCTGTGATTCATCTGTGATCTTCACCCTCTGGACACAGCCGATGAGAATGGTTGAAAAAAGCAGCAGAAAGTGAATGGCCCAGTCATTTTAAAGTTTTAAAGTTTCGGGCAGCCAATCGAAGGAGGTTACCCCTCACACAGGTGGCAGGGGATGCAGCAGCCTCCATGTTAGGCAATCTGGACATGCTCGGATAAGCCCCAATTACATCAATGTTTATTGACTGACTGTGTGACCTTAGGCAACTCACTTAATCTTCTGCGCCCAGTTTTCTTTAAAAAAAAATGAAGAAGTTGGACTACAGATCCTGCCAGCAAAATCCTGTTGTCCTAAGCTAGTATGAAACATGCTGCTCCAAGGCAAGTCCAAAGATGTGAATGCTTTGTCAACAAAGTGGGGAAGGGAGTAAAATGCAAAATACTGTTAGGACTAATGCCATGTGAAACTTACCACAGAAAGCTTATGTTATTTAATCAGAAAGGAATTTTGGGTTCAGGAAGAGAATGTAATTGTAGGACTTTCAACCACAAGAACAAATTCATAAACATAAATACTTGGCTAGATGAGGAAGGGCAAGGTATTATGCAGGGATTTCTACTAATCAAGAGAATATTCATAATTATGAAGAAATTAGAAATGAGCAAATGAAGCACCTAGGTTGTTATTCAGAATGTAATTGGTGCTCAAACTCTGCATCTAATTATTAGGCATACTGATTATGTTAATTCTGTAGTTTGGGTAGACTAAGAACAGGGTGTATACTTTGTTTGAAGCTTGCTTTCCCCCTCTTCTGTGGTGGGGGTGAGGTGAGGTGGTGCCCAAGAGTAGACTAGAGTGAACTTTGGCAGTAGAATCTAATGTGTGCGGGCCATGCTTCCCAGGGGAACCCTTAGACCACATGGATTAAGATATATGAGTTTTTGCCAGTCTAAGGGTCCCAATGTTTGCCTGCAGTGAGAGTCTAACATTTAAATAAAACTGCTCCACATATGTTTATTGGGGTCAGCAGAGAGAAAAGCCTGAGTTTGGGTTTGGTGCTGTTACTTTTCTCTTAGGTGGCCATGTTTTTCTTACAACAATTATTTTTAAAAATTAATAATTAAAAGAAAAGAAATAACAAGTGAGCTCAGGGAACTCTGGTTTGTATTTCATTTGCTTGCTTCACCATAATTAGGCCTGGGAATGAGCTGAGAAAAATACCCTTTGGGGGTAGATAGCATTTATAGCAACCATGCCTAAGTGGCTGAGAGTATGTTAAAGATATTCTTTAGCATCGTGGAGGAAAGCCAGCATAGAATCTAAGTCAAAGAGAAATTCCTTATAGACTGTGAAATCCTCCAGATGCTCCTATTTGTGGATGACATTCTGTTGATTGCATCAAACCTTGGAGCGTGGCAGAACTTTCTGGATTAGATTCATAATCACTCAAAAGAACTTGGTCTAAATATACACCCGAGCTGAAGAATAATAGGATTCAGGCTATGATGCGCAGTTGGATGGATAAGCCATAAGCCATATCCATCAATATACATTGACATATTAAACACAATATACTTATATATAATATAAAAAGAGGTTTTTTTATTGGTCTTTTTTCCCCCAAGAAGTTTGTTGTCATTAGGAGAACTTTGCAACTTCTCAAAGGCAATACAGTCATCTTTTTTCCTGCTAAATTTTGGGCACTTTGTAATATACATATACATACGTACATACCAGCACACAACTAGGTAGTTCCCGTGTAGTGAACTCATGGGAGGACAGAAATGACAGACCCACAGGAGGAAGAGACATGGATATGTTGTGATCCACAATACAGAACAGAAAACACGTAGATGAGGTTATAGAGCCATCTGAATATTTGAGTATGTTAAAGTTAGTGCTGGAAGGGATACTAAAAGATACTACCTCTTAAACAGCCTGCTTCCCATTGCTCCCATCTACTTGCCTTCTGCTTTTCTTGCTTTGCAGCACATAAAGGGAAAAACCTAGAATTTCTTACAGGGAGAGGGAAATTTCTTTGACTAAATGGTCTGTAGATTCTGTTCTTTCACCCCCTCCAAAGGTGTCATATAGAAGCAAATTTGATGTTGCTAATCTCTGGCTAGTGAGACCATTGTTTTTCTTTTGGGAATATTTTATAGCTAGTGGGATAACTGCTCACTGACTTTGAGGTGTGCCATATTTCAATAGGAATAGAGTTAAAATCCTACAACCTGGTTAAATAAATCAAATATACAAGTAATAAGAAGATATATTTGAAAGCAGTTTACGTAAAAAAAAAACTTAGAGATTTCTGAGAATCAGTTACATTTTTTAGAATGATCAGAAGTTATTCAAAACCAAATCTGCTGAATAAGTTGAGTGATGAGGCTGATTAATAGTGTTTTAGGTTTCAAAAAAAAAGCGTGACTATAAGAAGAAAAATTCCTTTATGTCACCAACAAAACCCATCAAGAAGAGTTAGAAAGAAATTCCAGTTGAAATTACTACAGAAACTATAAAATATTTGAGTTTGTAATACTAAAATATACCCAAGAGGTATATGAATCCAACTATCAAATATTGTTTGCAAAAATAAAGACAGATCTAAATAATAGGAGAAGCATTCATTGTTCATGGGTAGGTCTAGCCAACATAATAAAAGTGGCAATGCTACATAAATTAATTTATTCAGTGCTATATAACCCCAGCTACCAAAGGATTATTTTATAGATATAGAGAAAATAATAACAAAATTCACATGGAAAGACAAAAGATAAATATTGTCAAGGATAAAAATGAAAAAAAAAAGTGGGAAGGTAAGTTTATTAGTGCCAGATCTCAAACTGTACTACAAAGCAGCAATCCTTAAAATGATTTAGTACTGGTTAAAAAAAATAGAGAGGTTGATCAATAGAACATGTTAGATACACAACATAGAGCAGCAAGCTAATACAGTTAGCATAATGTTCAATGAATCTAAAGACCCCATTTACTGGGGGAAAGATAAAAACTGCTGGGAAAACTGGACAACAGTCTGGTACAAATTAGGTGCAGACTAATAGCCTACACCATATAAGCTCAAATAGGCAAGTGACCTAGACATAAGAGGTCATATCGTAAACAAATTAGAGAAAGAAGGAAAAAATTACCTTTTGGATCTATGGATAGGGGATGAGTTCATGACTACACAATTTATAGAAAAGATTACACAAGATAAAACAGACAATTTTGATTATATAAAATTTAAATGTTTTGCACCAACAAATCTGATACCATTAAAATGAGAAGGGTATAGTCAGTTGGGAAAAAATCTTTGTAGCAAGTTTCTCTGACAAAGGTCTCATATTAAAGATGTGTAAGGAATTGACACAAATTTATAAAATTAAGAATCATTCGGAAGTAGATGAATCATCAAAGGTTATCAGCAAGAAGTTTTAAAAGGAAGAAATCCAAACTATCAACGATCATTTGAAAAATGTTTCAAATCATCAATAACTAAAGAAAAATTAAAACAATTCTGAGGTCTCACCCCTCAGACTGGAAAAAAAGACAAAAGAGGAAAATGGCAAATGTCTACAGGAAGACAGGCACCCTACTGCAATTGAGCTCTCAATTAGTACTGCCATTCTAGAAAGCAATCTGGAATTATGCTCAAAAAGTTACTAAAAGGAACATATTCTTTGACCCAACTATACCACTGCTGGGCCTAAACCTCAAAGAGATCAAAGAAAGAGGGAAAAGATCAATACATAAAAATATTTATAATGACTCTTTTTGTAGTAGCCAAAAACTGGAAACTAAGGGGGTGCTCATGTACTGGGGAATGGCTAAACAAATTATGGTATATGAATGTAATGGAATGTTATTATGCTATAAGAAATGTTGGAATGAATACTTCCAGAGAAAACTGGAGGAAGACTTGTGTGTACTAGTGCCTAAAGAAGTGAGCAGGATTAAAATAATTTCTACAATTGACAACAACATTGTAGAGGAAAAAAAACTTTGAAATACATTAGAGCTCTGGTCAATGCAATGATAAACCATAAATCCATTGGTTTGAATAGGAATCACAACACTTGCCTCCTTCCAGAGAGAAGATGAATTCAAAATGCAGAGTAAGACATGTATTTGGGGATGTAGCCAATGTGGGAACTTATTTTCCTGGATTATGCATTTTTTATGATGAGGGTTTTTTCATCTGTTTGTTAAATAGGAAGGAGGGGCAGATTACTAATGTGTGTAAAAAGAAACACATGTATTGGAAAAAAAGAGAAAAATAAGGTAAAGAGACCGACTTTCTTTCATGGTTTGTGAATTGGCTGCTGTTCTTTGCTCTCAGAAGTCACATCTCAGCCATGACAGAATCCCACAACCTTACTGCTCACTTTGCAAAAGATTCTTCTTCTTCTTCTTCTTCTTCTTCTTCTTCTTCTTCTTCTTCTT